TTGAGAGTCCCTTGGACTGCAAGGAGATCCAACCAGTCCATCCTAAAGGAAATTGACCCTGAATATTCGTTGGAATGACTGATGCTGAAGCTGAAACTCCAATACTTTGGCCACCTGATGCGAAGAACTGATTCATTGGGAAAAACCCTGATGCTGGGAAAGATTGAAGGCAGGAGGAGAAGAGAACGACAGAGGATGAGATGGTTGGATGGCATCACCGACTCAATGGACATGAGTTTGAGCAAGCTCCAGGAGTTTGTGATGGACAGGGAGGCCTGGTGTGCTGCAGTCCATGGAGTCACAAAGAGTTGGACATGACTGAGTAACTGAACTGAACTGAATGGTGGTACAACTGAAATAAATGTGGTCTTTTATGGTACCCACTTTAAAGTGGAAAACACTAATTTTAGTAACATCTGCATCTTTGAAAAATATAGAACTCATTATATCACAGTCATAACTCATTTAGCACTCATCCTACCCTATTTCAAGTTGTGAATCAAGTTTTCAAATCACTTAAGGTAGCTTTGCCTGTATAAATATTATAGTTATGTGTATTGCTGAGTCATCAGTCAGTTAGTTGCCTTTGAATGCTAAATTGAAATGTTGACTTAAAATTCTGTTAGTTGGACTTTCCTGATGGTCCAATGGTTGGGAGTCTTCCTGCTGGTTCAGGGGACACATGTCCAATCTCTGGTCCGAGAAGATCCCACATGCTGCAGGGCAACTAAACCTATGCACCACAACTACTAAGCTTGAGCACTCTAGAGCCAATGGATCACGACTACTGAGTCCATGTGCAACAACTATTGAAGCCTTGCCCCAGAACCCGTGTGCTCCAGAACCATGCTCTAGAATAAGAGAAAGGCCACCACAGTGAGAGATGCAAGCAATGCAAGGAAGAGTAGCTCCAACATGTAATAATGAAGACCCAACACAGCCAAAAATAGATAAATTTTAAAAAAAATGTTACATAGGTATCATGCAAGTCTTTCACATTGAAAAAGATGAAATAACTAGAATTACAGACAATTGTAATAGAATCTAGAATTACAGACAATTGTAATAAATTAGATGCAGAAGTCATTCTATTAATTTATCTCTATGACCTACAGAATATAGTGGAACCAAGTTTTCCAAAGGGAAAGACCAATTGGTTAACTTTCGAAGTCATCCAGCACATTAATGTTAGTCATTTAAGATCACATAGCTACCTAGCATCGTTGTTTATTCCCAAAACACACAACACAAATTATAATCTCATTGCTGATGAGCATTGCTGTTGAAACTTTTGTCATAAACTATTTTCCAAATGCCCTATGTAGGACTGACTTTATTTTTGCCAGTTGAGTAGTGTGGAACCAAACATAATGACCATCAGTAAGCAATGCCTATGTTTGATGTCTTTGGAAGGCAGCCACACACACATAGACACACACACACACACACACACACGGAAAAATGATTAACTGAACATCTGTTATTTTCCTTCAAATTTGGGCTTGGCTAAAAGGACATAGAGTACACAGCAGTGGCCAGCTGCTGACAAGTAAATTTCCACAAATATTTTACGACTGTGCCAAAATGTTTACTGTCTCTTCCTCTGTAAAATTAAATTGTGAAATACAGAATAACATGTAAAAGAAGGACTCTTAATTATGGAATATAATCTTAAGGTGGGCTAAATTTGTATGCTTCCATGAAAATTCATGCTACCAGAATCAAGTTTTACCTTGAAGGTAAGAATTCACCTTTGGGAATTTATTCTGATGCTAGTAACCTGGTCTTTTAAAACTTTGCATCTTGGCCTTCATAGGCCACCGCAGATGGGTCCCTGACTAAAACATTTTGTCAATCACCATCAACATCTAAGGTTTTATTAATGCTTTGTCATTTTTATTACCTTTCAATTTTTTCGATGCTCGGCTTAAAGTATAAGAATTCACAAGTGTGTAGACTCTGAAAGATAAGAGCAAAACAATCAAGGTGCTTCTTGTCGCCATTCAGTATAAACTGCAGTCTGTTCACTTGTTTCTACAAATATTCACAGCACTTATCATGTGCCCAGCATAGGTTCTGTGAGCACATGATGCATCAAGACACATTCCTTTCTCCGAAGAAGTTACCATATAGCAAGTAATTAAGCAAGTACTTTAATCTCAAATAACTAAGTAGTAGAACTTTGTGCAAAAAGGGAAGAGTTTTACAGCTCCCTTTTCATTTATCAATTTTGGGTGATGTCTAGAGATGTTAAGCATTTATTAGATACTAACCAGAGTTGGGAAACTCCATCTGTAGGGTTTCCGTAGGCAGACTATGCTAGGCGTTTGCAAGTGAAGATCCCCAAATGGCTGGAAGCTAACAGTGAGACTACTTCTAGTAGTATAGGCATGTTTCTGAGGTACAGAAGAGTACAAATGTAGGAAATGCCATCGGCCTTATGGAAATGTGGTGATTGTGGTGGTGTATAAAATGAGAAGAAACAGTGATATAAAAATGTTTTACTGTATTTAAAGGAAACATTTAGAGCCTTCAAAACATACTCAATGCCTGTTTCTAATCATTTAATCATAGCTTTTGCTCAGTTGTAGCAAACATTAGTTTTCACAAAGTTGAAATTAACTCAGTGATAAGTTTTTGTATTTTCCTAATTGATTAATTATTGCCTATACCCTTAGGACATAAAGCAGATAACTCTCTTCAACAATTGTCCCAACAATATTAGAGACTTCCACTTCTAAACACAATAATATCATAAGGATTGGGTTTACTTCCCTGTTTTTTTAAATTGTTTAGTTTTTATTTCATAATCATAAATTTAACTTTGCAATCCAGCTAAACTTGGAGGGAGATAAGGAAAATATGGAACCCCAAGAACTGTAACGAGAGCACAAAGATTGTGGGATATTTTGAGCATAGGGGGGTGAAGGGGTGCTCTCCTGGGCTACAGAAGGAATGGTCTTGTGGTTAAGTAAAACACAAGTCAAATTTATTAGATTTGTCCACAGTCAGCAATGGTGATCTTCTTGCTGGTCTTGCCATTTCTGGACCCAAAGCGCTCCATGGCTTCCACAATATTCATGCCCTCTTTCACCTTGCCGAAGACCACATGCTTGCCGTCCAACCACTCAGTCTTGGCAGTGCAGATGAAAAACTGGGAACCGTTTGTGTTGGGGCCAGTATTTGCCATGGACAAGATGCCAGGACCTGTATGCTTCAGGATGAAATTCTCATCACCAAATTTTTCGCCATAGATGGACTTGCCACCAGTACCATTATGGCGTGTGAAGTCACTACCCTGCCACATAAATCCCGGAATTATTCTGTGAAAGCAGGAACCTTTATAACCAAATCCTTTCTCCCCAGTGCTCAGAGCACGAAAGTTTTCTGCTGTCTTTGGAACTTTGTCTGCAAACAGCTCAAAAGAGACGCGGCCCAAGGGCTCGCCATCGACAGCGATGTCGAAGAAGACGGTGGGGTTGACCATGGCTAGACAGCAAGGAAGGCTCCGGGGTGGCGGCGTCTGCAAGGCCTACTTCCCCATCTTAAATCTAAAACTGGACAAAATATATTTATAAAATGTAATTACAGATTATAGAATTAGCAGAAAAGGACACCAAACCATCTATAAAAATACTGAATGTATTCAAGAAGATAGAGGAAATCATAAGTGGAAGATATAAAAAAGACCCAAATGTAACTTTTAGAGATGAAATACGCAATACCGGAGGCAAAAAAAACCAGCATAGATGGAGTGAAAAACAGATTAGATACTTCTGAAGAAAATACAATAGTGAATTTGGAGACCTAGAAATAGAAACTATTGAAATAAAACAGAAAAGAGACTGGAATAAAGTGAATAGGGCACAGTAAGTTATAGAACAAGGTCAAGCAGCCCACTATATTTGTAAGTAAAGCCCCAGAAAAGGTTTGGTTGGGGAGGGGAACAGGAAAGTTATTTGAAAAAAATAATGGCCAAAATTTTTAAAATATGTTTTAAGTACAGACCTAAAGATCCAAGAAATTCAGTTAACTCTAAGCAGAAAACATGAAGGAGACCACATTAAGGCATAACATAGTCAGATTTCTGGGAACAACTAATAGAAAACAAAAATACTACATATAGGAGAATTAGGATATATTTTCTAGTTCTCTCTGCCATAATAAAATGCCATAGGGTGGGTAACTCATATAACAGAAATTTATTTTCTCCCAGTTCTAGAAGCTGAAAGTTTGAGATCACATGCTGGCATGGTTGAATTCTGGTGAAGGATCTCTTCCTGATGAGTGGATGACCGCTTCCTGGCTGTGTGCGTACATGGTCTTTCTCCTGAGCAGGTACACAGGGAGGGGAAGAGAGAGAGAGAGAGGGGGGTCTCCCTCTTCTTATAATGCCACTAATCCTATGGGATCAGGATCCACCCTTGTGACCTCATTTAGCCTTAAGTGCCTCCTAAATGCCCTATCTTTAAGTAAAATCACATTTGGCTTCAACATAGGAATTTGGAGGGTGGGGACCACACAATTCAGTCTATGACTAAACTAATAATAACTGTAGTCTTCTCATTAAAAAAAAAGAAAGAACACATGGATTGACATTTTTAAAGTTTTCACAGGGAAAATTATAAGCTCAGCAAAAAGATCTTTCAAAAGACTTTCAGTTCAGTTCAGTCACTCAGTCGTGTTCGACTCTTTGCGACCCCATGAATCGCAGCACACCAGGCCTCCCTGTCCATCACCAGCTCCCGGAGTTTACCCAAACCCATGCCCGTCTAGTCAGTGATGCCGTCAAGCCATCTCATCCTCTGTTGTCCCCTTCTCCTCCTGCCCCCAATCCCTCCCAGCATCAGGGTCTTTTCCAATGAGTCAACTCTTCACATGAGGTGGCCAAAGTACTAGAGTTTCAGCTTCAGCATCAGTCCTTCCACTGAACACCCAGGACTGATCTCCTTTAGGGTGGACTGGTTGGATCTCCTTGCAGTCCAAGGGACTCTCAAGAGTCTTCTCCAACACCACAGTTCAAAAGCATCAATTCTT